ATACGTGCTGTCATTTTACCAGTATACTGTATACCTCCCCCTTTTTGCTTTTAAAAGCTTCTGGGTGAAATAGGGTTTAAAAGTAAGACATGCACATATTAAAATTTGCAAACAATATAATGTGAGTGCAAAGTAAGCCCTGGGTACCTAGCTCGCATCCTCTTTTATTTTCCAGTACTGGGGGTTGAACCCAGCCTCCTGCATGCTAGGCAGGCACTCTACCGCCAAGTTACATCACCAGCCAAATCCCTTTCTTCTCCACAAAACTGTATCTTTTTTTATTTTCTTCTTTCTTTCTTTTCCCTTTTTCTTTATCCAGAGACATAGTTTTAATTTGTCTTTATAAGTGTACAGTCAAGTACCTTTATGAGGTGTTTTCAAAACTAGGATGGTGTGGCTGCTGTGTGTCATCCAACTGGAAAGCAGAGTCCTAAAAAACATTACAGCACGTCCTCTATTGTATTCACTGGATCTGGCACCATGCAGCTCTTGGCTGTTCCCCAAAATCAAAATGACTGTGAGAGGTAAATGTTTTGAGTTGACTCTGGCCAGGGCACCTCAACAGAGCAATTAAAGACACTTATGAAAGAGGGCTTCCAGAACCAATTCTGGCAAGGACAATGGCTCTTCAAATGGAGGGGGAATATTTAGAGGGGAGTTAATTGCAACGTGTCTTTTACTATAAAATTTATTTAAAAAATTAAAAATTCACTATATTTTTACGCAGACCCCATTTATGCCTACCTGGAATTTATTTATTTATTTATTTCTGTGAGAATAGCAGCATACAGACTCCATAGGTTTTATACTGTTTTAACACTTTATGTTAGACATGTTAGACATTCTTTCTCATTAGTACATTCATTTTAGCTGCTGCATAGTATTCCTTGGTAAAGACATACTTTACAGGAGATATCTAGTTATAAGTCTCTAATACGTGCTCTGTACATGCTTTTATGCACAGATGCACAAATGCAAATATTAGAGTAAATTTTGTAAATTTTGCAAATATTAGAGTAAACATTGTAAATTTTCCCCTGAAACACATGCAAATATTACCCATGCAAATACTGGAGCGGAAACACTGCAAAATTTCCCTTCAAATAAGCTATACTACATACACAAAATAACCTTAAAAGCATCTAGTAACATTTTGCCAAGTCTGTTAACTTATTTTGGGCTTTGTTAATCAGGAGGAAATATATCTCAGGGAGCTTCCATCTGTATAACAGAAGGCCTTTAAAATTTATTTCCACCAAAATACTGTCCATTATCTTTAGCTCATGCTGTGGAACTTTTTAATCTCTTTTTCTCTGTGAACTAAGAGTTTCGGGACTAAAGCGCTATCCAGGTGTGCTGATGTGAAATTTCAGCCGGAGAGCAGTTATTTAACCCAAAGTCCAGTAGTAACAACAAAGAGACCTGTACTGCTTTTCAGCGTTTGCGCCTTTAGATAACTTGCTAAGCGGTGCTGGGCATGACCTAGGTGCCCAAATTATCCAGACATTTTCCTCATTTCCCCCTAAACCCCTTCAGCACCTGTGGGAAGAAAGCTTTAGGAGTCCAACCTCCTAGCAATTGAGAATTCAGGTCGGAGCAGCCCAGTTACCCTCGGAAGGGTTTCGTCCGCTCCGGCTTGTGGGTGAATTGAGAGATTCGATTAGAGACGGAGCTTGACCCTGGCTTGCAGTTTTCAGCTCTGCACGGTCCCGTCGCTGAGCCGCAGGTTTGAAGCGGCCGCCCGGCGGGCCCGTGGGAAACGCGGGCACCTGCACAGCCTGCGCTGCGGACCTTGCCCGCAAACTCCGCCCTGCGGGAACTCGGAGCGGAGCCCCGGCTGGGACGTGCGGCACGTGACCCGTGAAGCACGGTGCAGGAGGACTCTGCGACCCCGCAGGACGTGAAGTTCGGAGCCCGAGCCACGCGGGCAGAGAGCGGAGGGTGGGACGCGGCTGTGCGCCCCGGGCACCCGGCCCACGGAGCACCGAAGAAGCGCTCGGCGGCGGAGGGCGCGCGGGACGGCGGCGCCACACCCAGGACTGCGCTCGGCCCGGCCCAGAGCCGCCCTCGGCCTCCACGCTCTCGCTCCGAGGTGCCAGCCGTCCACCGGCCGGGGTTGAGAGCAGCGGAGGCGAGCGCCGGGCTCCACCCGCGCCACAGCTCGGGTCCGCGGACCCCCGCCCCCCGCGACTCCGCCCCCTTTGTGCGGCGGGCGCCGTTGCCCGGGTGATAGC